TGACCTTATTTTTCTGTTTAGCTTAGATCGGACATTTAATTGGTTATTCCAGATATACCCACAATTTTTAATTTCTGACCTTTCCCCCGTCCGTTAACTTTAGGAGGTAACGATTTGTTTTTAAATATCCCTGAGAAATTATTTTATAACCCGGTACCTGCTATCGGCCTCGGGTAGTACGAAAATAGTATTGAAACGTGAAAGCTTTTGTGCAATGAATTAAAAATATTTTTCTTATAACTTCTTATAATATATATATATATATATATATATATATATATATATATCCTTACTCTGTCCTAGACATTGAGTTCTACCTGGATCCTTCCTCTTGGAAAATTTTTTCTGAAAATATACATGTATGGGAATTTTTTAGATATATTTTTCATATGTATGTATATTTTCCACTAATATTATCTATATATATATATATATATATATATATATATATATATATATATATATATAATGTGCGCTAGTGATTTACAAAGGAGGCCACATATGGAGCAAGTGTGAGGATTGTTAGATTGGCTGACATTTTAGATCTTGCTCTCGCTTCTTGAAGATGATTCAGACAAGCAGATTGAAAATTGCTGAGCCCACTAAAACACTATGATCGCCATTCTACCCGCTCCAAGGCTAAGCGCTCAAGGGTGTTATGTGGTATATTGACTGCTGACAAGTTGCTTTTCAGCTTGCATTTTTATCTTAGCCATGGGCGTCCTACATTCCCGTAGCCCTGATCTAACTGGCTGTACATTAGGATCTTGGGTATCCTGTCATCAGACATTCTCAAGACATGACCAGTCCACCGTAACTGAGACTGTATGATAAAAGTCTTGATTCCTCCAATATTACACCTGTTAAACAGGTCTACGTTAGATGTCCTATCTTGAAGCTTAACTCCACAGATTGCACGCAGACAGCTTTTATAGAAAACATCCAGCTGGCGTATATGGTACCTGTATGGAGTCCACGACTCTGAGCCATACAAAAGGATGGCAAGTACAACAGCTCTGTAAACCTGAATTTTCGGATCCATTCGAATACCCTGCTCATTCCACAAGCGATGGCGAAGTTTGCCGAAAGCACTGGTAGCCTTAGCAATCCGATGCATGATTTCATCATCTAAAATTTCACTGTAATTGACTTTGATACCAAGATAGGTGAAAGACTTTACATGGTTCAGGGCTTTGTCTTCTGCTTTCAATTGTCTCTCTGGAAATTTATAGACTGGTGGGTTTTTTTTCTCACCACGCAATTGCTTCGGGTTGGTGCACAACTTCAGTTTTCTTTATGCTAAGTGTAAGACCGAATGCTTTACACGCAGAAGAGAAACGATTTATTAGATGTTGGACCTCCTCAAAGGATGTCGCAACAAGAGCAGCGGCATCAGCAAACAACAAATCACGAATAATTTGCGTACGAAGGTGGGTCTTGGCTTTGAAGCGCTGATGATTGAAGAGACCACCAGTTGTTCGAAACTGAAACTTGACGCCACTCTCTGTGTCTGCAAATGCATATTTTAGCATCAAAGAGAAGAAAAGGGCAAAAAGGACGGGGTCTATGACACAACCTTGCTTGGTGCCATTTGTGGCATTAAAGTATTCCGACATCATACCATTAGACACGATATTAGCTTTCATTCCTTCATGAAAGGAGATGATGTCCTTTAGCATGTTTTCAGGGATGCCGAGTTTCCTCAAGACTTGCCAAAGAGCCTCTCGATTCACAGTGTCAAGTCCACAAACACCATGTATAACTCCTGGTTTTTCTCGCGAACCTTCTCTGCAACTTGACGAAGAGAAAATATCATGTCAATGGTACCCCGACCCGACCGAAAACCACACTGCCATTCAGGATAGATGTCGTCATCAAGGTGTATAATGATTCTGTTTAGAATCAGTCTCGCTAGGATTTTGCCTGCAATTGAAAGTAGCGATATCCCCTGATGATTATCACAGACACACCTGGAACCCTTGTTTTTGTAGAGGTGTTTGATAGAGGCGTCTTTATAATCCTGTGGGACACAGCCTGCCTTCCATATCTCCAGAAAAAGGAGATGTAACGTTTTACCAACTTTTTGGCCATGCTTATATACTTCGGGTGGAATAGAATATGTTTCATTAAATATGACAGACAAGGAAAATTTGATGATTTTTTTATTTAATTTTATTAACATTTTCCGTTTGGTGGGAGTAAGAGGATGCAAGACTTGTTCGTATTGTCCATTATCCCAAGAGCATCTGGCCAGATCTTTAACCACGTGTCGAAGTGCTATAAAGACAATTTATCCATAATGAAGATTCGGGTGCTAATACAATCATCCTGTATAGCTCCTGTTACCGAAAACATTTCGCAGTGACAGAGACCCTTTACATAAAATCTATGACATACAGTATAAAGCTCACCTTATTCAGTAACGGGAATAGTTTTTTGAAGAATTTTTGTTTTTTAAAAAAAGACGCCAACTCGAATTCTAACGATCTCGCGAAGTTCGGAATAAACTCTACTCCGATTCAAACAGCACAAAGTACAAAAAAAAAAAAAACAAAACAAAAAAAAAAACATGAACTGTAATTAACAACAAAACCCTGGAAAAAGTGTCTGAAAGTGCTTTGGAAAATAGAAAATACAGATAATTGTTACTTCAAACGGAAAACGTAAGAATGTTCGTAAGAATAAGTATAAATCAATCAAATTTTCCTTGTAGGTCGTATTCAAGGAAACATCAAGATAGATAGATAGATAGATAGATAGATAGATAGATAGTGTTATGGTAATTTACCCACGTACGCATGGACTCTCCCAGCTATAAATAGGAGCAGGTACTGCCTTTTAAGCGAGGGAAGTTTCCAGCACATAGCTCTGACAGTCGTACCGAACATTCTTGTTGTAACACTCTCGTTTGTATATGTTTGTATTAGTTTCTCCTAATACATTTGTTTAACTCAATCCCTCTCTTTGTGTCTTTATTTCTGGCCCTAACAAGGGCATATCAGATAGATAGATACATAGATAGATACATAGTGAACAGACGGCTATAGATAGACATCGGATAGAGAGATAAACAGATTGAGATACAAACACATATAAACAGAAATAGCAAGATAGATAAATAGATATAAACTAACTGGGATAGATAGATAGATAGATAGATAGATAGATAGATAGATAACGAACAGACTGCTATAGATAGACAGACGGATAGAGAAATAAACAGATTGAGATAGATAGATAGATAGATAGATAGATAGATAGATAGATAGATAGTAATGAATATTTCACTGCTCGGTTCTACTCTCGGCTAGATCCCCTCATGCAAAGCAATATATTTAATGTCAAAATATCAGGATAATGATTGGGTTGGGCTGAGAACTTTTCAGCAGCACCCACTAATTGATAGACAGCGCGGTAGCTAGCATTATAAGGTAGATTTATATTTAAAGTTAAAAAAAAAAAAACTTGACTGTATATTAGAGAGATATTCTCACAAACTATCACCCATACGTACATATATATATATATATATATATATATATATATATATATATATATATACTTACATATGACACCACACACATACATACATACATATATATATATATATATATATATATATATATATATATATATATATATATATATATATATATATATTTATGTATGTATGTATACGTACTTACGTACATAGATACGTATATCCTTGACTGCATTCCTATTCATATGTTTATATTAATGTATTTATTTGTGTCTCGTAACTTGGTGAGGCGATAGTGTTGAATTACTTAAACAAACGGATTTCTGTATTCGGAATTTCTCGTTTAACGGCGCGTTTTGTTTAGAGACTTTTTTTCAAAGTTTACTGTTAATTTGTTATATTTTTCAGAATGTTGAAATAATATCGTCTCTTTTCTTTTTAGAAATCTAACTCTGCAAATGTACAGAAGTCCAATAAAAATTTAATCAAATTGATTAATAAAATCAATACATAATTAGATCGCTTCGGAAAATTTTTGCAGCTTCGCCAACGTTTCCCCATTACTACCTAAAAATTATTCAAAATAAAATAGACACGTACATAATACGAGGAAGTTTTAATGCATAAAAACGTCATGTAAATTTCCTTCGTTTTTAAATTCAAATGCAGACGACAATTTTATTATTAGAAGCCGATGCAATTTATTTTTCAGTTGGATTTTATTTCGACAAATTATCACAAAACTTGATGCGATTAACAAGATACAAAAAAGAAATACATTTTTTATAACATGTGTAAGTATCATTAAATGTACTGAAATTATAATCAAGAAGCTGTTTAAATATTTGTCGGAAGTGTCCGACATTCTTTGTTAGCCCGTCAATCGAAGAAACAGACAAATGCAACAATAGCAATGACAACGTTGAAATAAGCCGTTTCCTTACAGGAAACATTGGTATTTATTGACGTTTCTGGCATTTGCTTAATTGATTCGTTTTCTACGGAATATCAACTGTTTGAAGGTTATTTAAAGCCAGAAAAATTTACATTGTAAGAATTTGCCTTTTTTTTTTTTTTTTTAGATAATAATGTTTTATTGATACAAATCTTACTAATTAACCCAAATCTAGAATAGTGTTATACCAGAACATTACCTATTCTATTGTAATAGACTCTCCTACACATAATAAGTAGTACTATTAGTAGTAGCGGTCGCTAGTTGAGCTCAGTGGTGTTGAGCGAGTCAGTCGATGTCGGACATTGAAGTATCAACCGTCACAATTAGATTGCTGCGTCATTAACTCTTATTTCAAGTTCCTAACGTTTTGTACGTCGGACCCTTTTAGGACCGACTTAGCGAAATACAAGCCTCCACTGGGAAAACTACTTTACAAGAAATAGGTGGATTCATACCTTTCCCAAGGATAATTGCGTGTGTGTGGATATAACGAAGCCAATGTGAATTGGAACTCGGCTTTCTGATCAATAATTCCGAGCCGTTATCCATTATACCACCAAGCATACAGCATCTGGTATTCCCAAGCGGTTACCTCTCTAGGTATTGACCATGCACAACATTGCTTAACTTCGGAGATCGTAATGAGACCGGTATTTAAAAATGATTTGGCCGTATACCGTTTCTGGCAGTTGAAATTCATTAAATCTTTTTTCTTAATGAGCCCTGAGGAAACTAGATTTCTCAAGACCACTAACTGTTATAGCTCTTTCTAATATTGATTGAAGTTTCCTTCCAACCCTTTTCTTTTAGGTAGTGTGAAAATTCAATATCATAATGGTATCTTTACTTTCTTTTCTAATGTTATTTTAAATTTGGAAAAGTTTTTTCATTGCGATTATTGAAGGATTGTATGCTTTAAGACCCGACGATTCATTCGTTTGAAGCCATTTTTAATTACTGATTTGAGAAAACTGTTGAATGTAGGTGATAGTTTAGGCATTTCTATAAGAGTTGATCACCATCAATAGCATCTACATGTAAGTCTAGATTTCACGAGGCAGTTTCAAATATGATTCGAATTTTTAGGTTAAGATTTTGCTTTCGTAACAACATACAGTGCTGGACAAAATTCAGCCTAATATCCTGTGTTAAATTTCCTAATATCATATTTAGTTATAATTGATCTATAAAACGTTGTTATAAATATGGTGACAAAGAGGAGGACAATAGTCCGAATAATGTAAATAGTGTACATAATACCTCATCTCAGAAATATAGACAGATACTGAAAGGCCGAAACGTTGTGATAAATATGGCGACAAAGATAAGGACAATAGTCCGAATAATGTAAATAGTGTACAGAATACCTCATCACAGAAATATAGACAGATACTGAAAGGCCGAAACGTTGTGATAAATATGGTGACAAAGATGAGGACAATAGTCCGAATAATGTAAATAGTGTACATAATACCACATCTCAGAAATATAGACAGATACTGAAAGGCCGAAACGTTGTGAGAAATATGGCGACAAAGATAAGGACAATAGTCCGAATAATGTAAATAGTGTACAGAATACCTCATCTCAGAAATATACACAGACACTGAAAGCCCGAAACTTTGTAATAAATATGGCGACAAAGAGGAGGACAATAGTCCGAATAATGTAAATAGTGTACATAATACCTCATCACAGAAATATAGACAGATACTGAAAGGCCGAAACGTTGTAATGGCAGCAAAGATGAGGACAATAGTCCGAATAATCTAAATAGTGTACATAATACCTCATCTCAGAAATATGGATAGATACTGAAAGGCCGAAACGTGGTCATAAATATGGTGACAAAGATGAGGACAATAGTCCGAATAATGTAAATAGTGTACATAATACCTCATCTCAGAAATATAAACAGATACTGAAAGGCCGAAACGTTGTGATAAATATGGTGACAAAGATGAGGACAATAGTACGAATAATGTAAATAGTGTACATAATACCTCATCTCAGAAATATAGACAGATACTGAAAGCCCGAAACTTTGTAATAAATATGGCGACAAAGAGGAGGACAATAGTCCGAATAATGTAAATAGAGTGCATTTGTTTATTTGAGAATACAACCCTTCGGGACACAGTTTGAGCCCTACAATGGATATTGCTCTGACGATTTCAAGAAAATCGATTGTCTTAAATAAGAAAAGACGTCTCTCTCTGCTTTTCACCAACATGGCTGATACTAATCCCCAGGAAAGAGATTCGTTGAGGCTTCTCAGGCTAAAGTTCTCAACTGTCATGAAGTGAAAAGACTATATTGATTCCATTGCTAGGTCAGCTGCTAAGAATTTTGGTTTACTGTGTCGTGCAAGAAAATCTTTCTCTCCAGAATCTATCACACATATCTACAATACATATCTATCATACATATCTTTTCGTCAATATTTAAAATATTGCTTGTACATATGGTCTAATGCTCCTGCTATTTACTTTGAGCTCCTTGAGAAAATCCAAAGAAGAATCTGCTATATCAATGGTCCTGATCTGGCCACTCGGCTTCAATCACTTTCCCACCGCCGTAAGGTTGCCCCTCTGTGCCTTTTCTATAAATATTTTCATGGTAATTGTTCGGATGAGTTCTTGGCAATGGTACCAGGACCTTATGAATTTAAGCGCTGTACCAGACTGTCGACAAGTTCTTATCAGTTTACAGTTGAACTGGCTAGATGTAACTGTAAATTCTGTTATTCATCATGACAGTCGTCTTCGAGTATAGAATCCAGAGGTTAGCATTGAATATTTCGAAGACAGTAGGAAAGCGTTGTTCAGGTTAGCAGTGGATATTTCGATAAAAGTAGCAGAGTTCGTCCTTCTGGTTCTCTTCGCCTGACAAGCTGGACTGGACATTCGGGTAGAGTGAACAAAAATGGCCGCCTTTATACACGACGAATTGAATGTTCTACGTCTTCTGATTGGTTAACCTTCTATTGGTGGACTATAAAGGGAGTTAAGTCATTTTGACTGGCTCACTAGTTATATGTACATATACACAAAAAACTGCA